CAGCAATACCACAAGCATACAGTATATGTACAGAGGTGCTTAACAAAAAAGTGTGATTTTTTTTAACAAAGAGAATTATATAATGATATTAACAGACAAAAATGAAGCCTTGAATCAACAGAATCAATAAAACAAAAAATGGATATTACGAAAATAGGAACATTATAATATGAAAATTAGTGTAATGTAAGATTTCTTATTTTATGTTTTTTTAAACTTTATTTTATTTTATTTTTTATGTGTATGTGTGTATTGCCTGCATGTAGGTAAGTACACCCATGTCATGCAATGCCCATGGAAGTCAGAAGAGGCTGTCAGATCCCCTGGGACTGGAGTTACGGACAGTTGTTAGCTGCCATGTGGGTGCTGGGATTCGAATCCAGGTCTTCTGCAACAACTACCAGCATTCTTAACCACTGAGCCATCTCTCCAGCCCCTATTTTATGTTTTAGTATCAGATTCAAATGATGTAAAATATAGTACTGTAAATAAGATTTAATTTGTAATTATAGTTTAATTGTAATATAAGTTTAATATTAAATATAGCATTATAAAGGTTTATAATTTACTGTTATAATTATGAGTTATAAATTATAATACACATGTAATATAGTACAAATAAAAATTAAATCATCCCCATGAAAAATATTGGAAATAATTATATAGTGTGTCTTTATTTTTTGATTTATTTATTTTTATTTTATGTCTATGAATGTTATGCTTACATGTATATGAGCGCATTACATGTGTGCAATGCTAATGGAAGCCAGAAGAGGGTATCAGATTCCCTGGAACTGGAGTTAAAGGCCATTGTTAGAGGCCATGTGGGTGCTGGGAACTGAACCTGGGTCTTTTGGAAGAGAAAAATATAAAATATACTTAGAGGAAGAAAAATTGTAGAAAACTGTGTAAAGGATGAATGTCCTAGAAGAAACTGTGACACTGTTGAAGTCATTGCAATGAGGAAACACTAAATAGCTGCACTGCTAGTGGTTTTAGAGCAAGAGCCACAAATAGCCATTGGCCACATTACTGCAGATAAGCTCTGAGCATGGAAACAGTCTCCAAGCATAGCAGGAATAAAAGAATCTTCAAAAGAGACATTGGACATACTTCACAATGCAGCATCTCCAACTTCTAGTCAGAGCGTCAGAACAACAAACTAGTATTTAAAACAACAATTAACAGGGTCAGCACAGAGCCCAGTGGTGCAACACTTGCCCATGGGCTGTTCACTGAGAAATTAAAAAAAAAAAAAAAAAAAAAAAAAAGGGTGAACCCAAGCCCCAAGATGAGAAACATTCCCCCAGGGGGTTTACCATAAAAAAAAAAAAAAAAACAGGCATAGCAGATAAGATTGGATAAGATTGATGTGCTTCCCGTGATTGCTACAAAGAAGTCATCTATGTGGTTTTAAAACAAAAGGAACTATGCATGGTTAAAAAAACATAGCAATGAATTAGAAACTTAACCATCAAATCAACTGATCTTAGCCCCGTTTCTTAGAATGGCTTTCATCCTATGTTCTCCTCTGTGTCGCAAAGGAAATGTACTTTCCCCTCTATTCCATTTCGAATAGAAACAATGAGCTATCAGGTCAATAAAACACCCTGTTAGTTATAGACATCTTCTCAGAAGTTCTAAGTGTGCCATCTCATATACGCATGGTGGAATAAAACATGGCAGAACTCTTGAAAAATCGATTTGGCAATAATTCCTTTTCTGGAACTTGAACTAGGAATGTCTATAATCACTTATTTATGAGAGCCACAGCCCAGGACTGCCGCCAGCAGCCTGAGGTGTTCTCTGCCCCATAGAGACCTCCATTCAGGTAAAACCATATCCTTGACTACATCAGAGAAAGGAATTTCAGGATGAGTCAGAGTGGAGCAAAACAGCAAGTTTATTAAGTAGACAGACAGAGGGACACAGGAAAAGGACAGTTCACACAAGACGGAACTGGATTCTAGGAGAATTTCATTGAAGAGTCTTACAATGGTATATATGTGATTCTGTGGCTTTTAAAGTTACATTGCTCAAAGGATTAATTCACAAGGTTTAAAGCTTAAGCAAGCTTAAAATGAGTCGATTAAAAATTAGGTGAAAATATGAGCTGGTTTACATATGTCTCTCCTCTTAATTTCTTTTCTAAATAAAATTGTAAGGTAGTTTTGTGAGCTGTGTGGTTCAGATTTGGGGGTGACAGAGAAGTGACATGCTAAACCTCGAGATTGCAAACATTCTGACCCTACGTAATCATGGTTTGTTTTGGTTTAATCTGTTTTGCTGAAAGGTTTTTTTCAGCAGGAAATATGAACTTGACCCAAAGTTGAGGTGTTTCTTTCCTCTCTCACCTCCTTTTTATTTTCCCTGTCTTTCTACCCTGTCTCATTTTATAACAGGGAAAATCTGGAAATAGGTAAATGTCTTCCAGTGGGTAATGCATCATTCATAGAATGGAAGTGTATGCTGTTAAAATGCATGTGTGGGGTGTGTTGGCTGTTGAAATGAAATACTCTAATGTCTAGTTACATGGGGAAGAAGCAGGTACATAGCAATGGTATGATAGCAGTTTACTAGGAAAACTGCACAAGTGAAAGAAGATTCCAGGAGGAAATAAATTTTTAAAAAGTATGAATTTCAATATGTAATAGGTAAAGATAACGTAAAATTTCTTTCCCTCTTTCTTTACCAACACTTCGTATAATACGAATTTTCCTTGGGGCATAGGTATTATACACATTGGCGGGCATCCATCACAAAGCAATTTAGCTGCTGAATCCGTGTGTGGTAGGATCAAGAAGCTATTTCCATGTCTTCCTTGCAGATAGTAAGCACCCAGCATGTGGAAAGCAATGTATATGTATAATGTATAGGACAAGTTGAAATAAGGTGAACATGTTGCCCTGGATTTGTGTTTGTGTGTGTGTGTTTCCCCCCTATTTCTTTAAGCTGGGAAGCAGGCACAGTGCTGATCAATCAACTTTAGACATTAGCCATAGCTGTGGGGCAGTGCACAGATGGGTAGTGACATGGGGGCTAAACCCACATGTCCTTGGAGGATCTCAGTGAGCACAGCTACCAACACAAATGGTTAAGTGAGAGGAAACCATGTCTTGTCTGAGCCACTATAACGTGAAGTTTCATTGCTATGGTAACAATGTGAGGTCTATGGAGTGCATAGAATAGGCATTATAAATCTGCTCATATATTTTCATGAGAGTATTTTTTCTCTGATTATTTATTTATTTTTTGCAGTACTGGGAATTTAATCCAGGAACTTCTGCATACTAGGAAAGTGCTCTACCACCAGCTAAAACCCCAGCTCTCTTTCTACATTTTGACATAAGGTGCCACTAAGTTGCCTAAGCTGGCCTTGAACTCACTATGTAACTCACGCAAGTAGCCCAAGTTAATAGTAATCCTCCTGCCTCAGCCTCCCAAGTAGCTGTGATTACAGATTTGTGTCACTTGGTCTGGCATCTGTTTCATTAACTAATTTATTATTATTATTATTATTATTATTATTATTATTATTATAAATTTGATCTTTTTTGAGACAGGGTCTTCCTGTAGCCCCAACTGGACAGAAACTTGCTATGTAGATCAGGCTGGCCTTGAACCCTTCGAGATCCACCTGCCTCTCCCTCCCGAGTGCTGGGATTAAAGGTGTGCACCACCACGCCCAGCTCATTAACTAATTTAAATTTAAAATAGGTTTATCATATTTATGACTGCACTGTGGGTAAAATATGAGGTCATTTCTGTATTTTTCCTTAAACATACTTTGGACAAGTGGAGGTATAAATCATTATCAGTGTGAATCCCAGGCTCACTGTAAATGACACAGTAGTTCTAAGTAAAATGTATGATCTGCTGAACTAGTATGCTTCAAGCATGTGAGGACCACAAAACCAGAGCTCAGGGCAGAGAATTTGAGTATTTTCTTTAGAGAGAAGAATATACAAAACCAGGAGCTCATCAATAATGAAATAATTCATATATCATTTACTTAAAAACATAGTAAACACTGAATTTCCATCCCAGATGATTAGATGTGTAGTTAGGTGAGGCAGAATTAAAGCCCTGCTGTGATGGTTTGAATGAAAATGTCCCCCATAGGCTCCAAGTATTTGGACATTTTGCCCCCAGATGGTGGCACTGTTTTGGGAGCATTTAGAAGGTGTGGCTATCCTGAAGGAAGCATGTCACTGGGGGTGGGCTTAGAAACTTCTTAAGCCTTGCCGGATTTCAGGTTACTCTCTTGCTTCCTGTGCCTGTGTGATGATGCAAGAGCTTAGCTTCTGCTGCTCCTGCTCCTGCCA